GCCTGCGGACTGCAGCCACGCTCCAGGGCCCGAGTTAGGCAGGCCTGCGGACTGCAGCCACGCTACAGGGACCGCTCTCAGAGCTCCACCTCATTTATAGTCAGTCTCCCTTCATGGACAATCTTTACTTTCACTTCAAGTTGTGGACTCTGGAGATGCGAGACCTCCTGGACCGCGAGTGCCGAGGCTGGCCTGCCCGTGTCAAGACACAACATCACTAAGACAGCAAGATGATTACTACTGAACCATGAGCAGCAGTTATCTAAGACAAATCGTCTCTCTCTGCAAGCGCTCAAAGAAATATCTCCACAGAAAATCGGACAGAAATGTGAGGAGGGTCAGGAAATCAGCGGCCGACCTGAATGTGAGACCTGCAAAAAAAGCTCAACACCACAAAGTTTCTGAACATGGAGGGTCAGGCCAAGACACTGACTATTACGATGTGGAAGAGAGAAAACCAAACAGTCATAACTTGCTGCTGCGGGCGGTCACCGCAGACGGGTAACCGTGACGACAGCAGAGCCTACCTGAAGATGTGGGGTCTTCAGAGAAGTCGTGCAGCTCCTCCGGCGGATCGCCGTAGAAGGAGTTAAACTTGTGGCTGGAGACGGCGGCGAGCACTGCCCCCTGGGGAAGAGAAATGACAGGAAGGGGTGGGGGAAAGAAGCTGCTTCGTCACTGAGGCCATTTGCAAGGCTTAAAAAAAGTCCTACTAGAATAGAATAGCGATATTTCATTTATCCTCCTTTGACCTATCCCATCATGCTCGCCATGAGACGCACGGACAGGTGAGAACAAGCTGGGGGTAACAGCACGGGGTCAGCCGGTGTGCAGCACCCCTGGAGCTGGGGGCTATTGGTGCGTTCGTTTTTCTCTCAGAACTCGGAAATTCCGAGGTGAGTGACGCCCGACAATCTCCCGTTCAAGCTACCGCATCTCGGAACAAACATGGCTGCCTCCATCAACACAGTTGCTTTATATTTTAGCAGATTTGGAGTAAGATTATTTTTTCCGAGAGACAAACAAATAAGAAACACAAACTAGTCAAATCACATTAAAAGCTTTATAAAATATTTTAGTACAGTCATAGCGATGAATGAGGGCAAACAAACTACAAACAAACCGAAGACACTAACAAGTCTGGTAAAAATCTGATATTGCATGGTAGGATACTGTTTACGGTCATGATATGGTATTCTCTAAATCGAACACGTGCAATTACATTTATAACTATTAATACATTTAACAGAATAAACATTTTTAAAGATTTATAAAATAGAATTACTGTTGAGTATGTAAGCCACCATGTTAAAATTACATGGGAAATCACAGGGGAAACTCGGACAAGAAAATTCTGTCCGACATGAACGTCATAAAAGTGGCGTGTTTCCGAAGGGAACTGACGTTTTTCGTGACATTTTATGGCGTTTTCATCCAAGTTCCGACTCGGAGAGAAATGATTGAATGCAGGATTAGAGTCTGTCCCATGTGCTCACAGACATTTGACTATTCTGCAAAGACCAGGGCAAACTGGACTGGCGACCTTCCCATCTCAGGCACAGAGGCTGAATCCGCTGAGCCACATGCCACCTGACCTTGTGCGCATCCCAGCGATGTGCCGTTCTGGTAACTATGCGCCAAAACACATTTTATATCAAAACAGTTCAAACCCCATTATGCCCAGTCAGACATAGAAAGCATGTCCTTCCGGAGAAGCTCACCTTCAGCTTCCTCCTGGCGTTGAACTTCCTCAGCTGCTCCACCGTCTCGGGGAGGTGGATCTTGTACGCGTAGCGATCTCGCTCCTGGACAGACACAAGATCCAGCTCCACCAGAATGTTCTCTGTGACTAATCCTGCCTGAGAACCTCACCACTGACACCTAGCTGCCCCAAGAGGCGCTACAGTGAAAGAAGTGCAGACTGGCAGCCCAGTTCCCTCCAGGAGTGACCAAGACACGAGGAGGTGACTGGGACACTACCCCCACTAACCGGACACAAGGAGGTGGCAGAAGAAACTCCCAAAGAAGGAGCGACACTGCAGTAGGATGGGG